ATATATATATATATATATATATATTCGTCTCTGTAGCCAAAGGAACCATAACATAGTGTAATGTGAAGGCAGAGAGAATTACGTTCATTGACCTCTAAATCAGTGTTAAATGTTCATTAATGTAGCACTCTTGTTTATATTTAAACATTGTAATTGATTATTTTTTTCAATTTCCACAGAGAGTTAATACTTTTTCTTATTTTATGTCTACAGATTTACCTGGATTGCACTGTGCTCAGTATATTCAAGGGTTACAACAAGAAGCCAACCAAGCTTTAAATGAGCATGTAAAGACGATCCAACGATGGGACCACGCTAGATTCACCAAGCTCATAATAGTTCTCTCCTTACTACGGTCCGTCAATGCCAATGCTATTTCTGAACTGTTCTTCAGACCCATCATCGGCACTGTGAATATGGATGATATGCTGTTGGAGATGTTGGGAGCAAAAATATAGCTGTAACCTGCAAAGACTAACTGCAGTACAAAAAGAAAGATACAAACTAAAATGTGTATATAAGTCTAAGACGACAAAGGGGCAGATGCACAGTTAGCTACTCAGTTACTTGAGTTTTTGTGCCCTCACTTTTGAAATATGTGGACATTCTGTACACTAAAAGCTTTTGTAGTAATTTGCTTGATCCAAATGGGATCAAATGTTTTTTTTTAGCTTTTCTTAAACTTTTACAGAAAAAAATAGCACTAACTGATTTATTTAACAAACCTCAATAATGGTGTGCAAAGTACAGCAACTCATAGCTTTCAGTTTAAGAGCAGTCTATACACTTTGCAGACACCTTCAATTTGACTAATCTTGGGGGAAGAATACATTAGTTTAGATAGATTTTCCCAACCAGTTGCTATTGTTCCTCTGAGGTATGCCTGCCAGCAGAGAGGATTGGCACAGAGCATAGGTATACTCATAATCATTCAAATGGTTCATTAATAAATGTTTGTGGTGACTACATTACTGGAAAGGTACTATACCGCAATTGGTAGCAACATGAAAAAAATTATGAATTTTGCTGATTTAGAAGAGAGATTGTTAAATAAGACTGGATTTGTTTAAAGCTCAATACCAGGTAGATATTAAGGAAATAAAAATGCAGCTATGTAGTTATTAATACATCATTAAATGTATTTTTGTAAGATTCCCACAGTGTACGTTTATACATTTGAACTGCCATCAGCCTTTTGCAGTCCCTGTACAGCAAAGGAAGAAGGAGCAGAAGGAGCCATTTAGTTCAAGTGCTCACAAGAAGTATGCTGATAGGAAGATGGAGTAGAGTGACAGATTGATGAACCCATCCCTGTGCTGCTTTTCCTTGTCTCACTGTCAAATCACAGGCTGGAGTAGGTCAATGATGACCTGGGCTCAAAGGAGAGGGATAAATGATGAGAGTCATCAAACTGAGGGTACTTTGTGGTGGGAAGGATTACTTCAGGGGAAATATCTGAATTGAAAGCAAATATTGCAATAAAAGCTGCCTTTTTTTGATCTTTTAATTGGTTAATTATTTTATGTTTGGAAATTATCACCATGATTTTTTTTTACTGTTTTCCTGAATAATCCTAAACTTAAAAAATGCTCTTTACCCCAACTATAGTTTGCTAAATAACAGTGCAATGCAGTTTGTTGCTTTGGGAGATGTATCATGAGAAAGTCTATTGGTTTGCAACAGGAAATGGTTCTATTTTTTATATTAGCCAAATAAATGGCTTGCTATGACTGGATTTGAATCTAGATGGTGTTAAAGTAACTTGTTTGCATTGTGTGTATTAATTGGGAACTTTGTGGGTCAACAGCAAGATGTTTTGTTCCAGCTATAGTACAGTTAAGTTTGAAAAGTCCTAAAGTAGCAAAGGCTTTATATATATTTATTTTTTTCATGTAGTGAAAATGATCCATTTACATTTTATAGTAAAATACCTGTATTAAATTTGATAGTAGACGACAAGCCATTCTCATGTGTATAAATGTAGAATGTTAATGGATACTAGGAACACCTATGTGCATTTAAAAACTACCACAGGGCCTTGTGCATTTGCAGATATACTGTTTGGAAATATTGCTAACTGAGGACAGAAGAGTTTTTCTTTTCTTAGAGTAAATATATGTAAATTCCATTGTTTCTCTCTTTCTTTAATTATTCTTTTGACTGAGCAGAGGTTTTTCTGTGAATTATATTGCTTACACATATCTTTTTCTCTAAACTCAAAACCTTCTGAACTGTTCAGCTATTGTGGTTTAAAGTATTGTAAAATATTTAACTTATTGTTTTTACAAAGGCAATATTTTTTTATTGAATTAAACAAAATCCAAAAATCCAGACTTATCTCATTAATAAATACTAGTTATCAAGTATGTGTTTGATACGTTCTTATTTTAAAGTGGAACTATACCCAAAAAATGAAAAATCATGTAGTTTCCACGACCTTTTCCAGTGCACATTGTAAGGGGCGCAGGCTCATCTGGTATTGGTTACGGTAAACAATGTACGAGACAGGGACATTCAGAACAGTCCAAGCAGGTTTGTCCTGCACTTTTATTCAGCAAGTCAGCAAACAAATGCAGAAGGGCTTTGTACAGCAAGTCCATAGCATAAAACAAACAAAACATCTGCTCGTCGAAGCCACTAACAAAACTCAGGCCACTTCCCGACTAACAGGGAGCTTCCCTAATGGGTTCTCAAAAAGAAACAGGCAGAATTTGTAAATTTTTAGTGTCCTGTCAGCAGTCAGCCTTTTCACCCAGCATCAGGCTCCATCAGCTATTAGAGAAAGAGCCCTGAGAATCAGTCAGCTCACATTTATAAAGATTTGTGCACAGCTGAGACTAATAATAGGGTCTGGCTACCAGGTAAAATGTGGACCTAGGAAAGGAATCTTTATCCCATCAAAACCTCTACAAAGCCTTCAGGCTTCCAGTACCAGAAGAGAACTTAAGATAACCCTGGAGCCCCTCATCATGTGTATTTGAGAAAGCTAGGTACACATAAACACTGTTCACAATCCTGCCAGCCAGTGCCTCACCACATACACTATGGGGTCTATTCACGAAGCGGCTAGCTTCGGTCCCAGGACCCCTTCGGTTCAGTAGAAGGGGTACTGTACGGGCTATTCACAATAGCTTGTACAGCTCCCTATCATGGCCGAGTCTCCTGCTCCCGGCCGCCAAGGAGAGAAACAGGGCTGTGTCTTTTTTTCTTTATTCTGACACGATCGATGTCAGAATAGAAAAAAAAAAACATTTTCCCGTTGAAAAGCATTGGGACATTACTATTGGCTATTTCAATTTGCAATAGCCAATAGTAAACTAGCATTGTACCTGCCCTCTGCTGCAGTTCCCCATCAGCAGAGGGCGGGTACAATGCTAGTTTACTATTGGCTATTGCAAATTGCTTCTCTCCTTGGCAGCCGGGAGAGTTTTTTTTTCTGTTTTTTTTGACAGCAGCAGAGCTGCCGGACAATAGGAAACTATTGGGCGGAGCTAGCTGTCACTGCTAGCTGCGCACAATAGTTTGCTATTTACTTTTTTAACTTTTTTCACTCTTTTTCTGTTCTGCTCGGTACCTCTGAGGGACCGAGCAGAACAGCCGAGC